GATTCAAAATCACCACATTATGAATTTAATTTGTGTGAAACTGTTATATAGGTTTGATCATATTTGAAAGGCCTGATGAAACTGAGTTTTTAAATATTGCAAGAACCAAAGATTAGGATTCACATTGACCCAAAAGGATAGATGAATGAAAAATATTCATCTTGAGAAATTAGGTAGCCAGGCTCTTAATCTACATCATTTTATTAGTATCATTCATGCATTAAATTAGTTCAAGGACTAAATGAACTTAATTGATCAAAAAGGTTTACAGACTTTTTATCAATTATATTCATACCAAGTGAATGTTCCTTACTTGTTTCTATACCAAGATAGCAAAACAGGATAGAAATATGAAACTCTTCACTAAAATTCTGAATAATCCACAAGAAATTTTGGAACAGAAGGTAGTCAGTTAAGGTTGATTAGATTGGCCCTATGAACCTATCATTTAATTTCCAAAGTAACAAGGAAAAAGCAAATGAGTAAATAGCAAAAAATTAAAATAAGGAACAAAGCTGAAAATTGTTTAATTATAAAAAGGGACAAAATAAAAAAAAACTAAATAGCTTTTAAAAAGTAAAGAATTTCTTCTTAATTTGAAAATAAGATAAATTGGTGACAATAAACCACCTGATTTTACTCTCTTTTTCATATAAATTTTTATTTTAAAACAGTTTTAGATTTACAGAAAAATTGCAAAGATAATACAGGGTTCCCAATATGCTCACCTCACCCTGCTTCCCCTATTATTAGTATCCTACATTAGTATGGAACATTTGCATAGTCAATGAACCAATATAGTAATAACTAAAGGATTTCCTTAGTTTTTACTTAATGTCCTTTCTAGATAGACTTAGGCTGCCCATCCCTGAACCAATTAAACATTGGCAAGGGAAATAGGATTACTGTGATTGGTTTAATTAATCTGAGCTAACCCCTGGCAACCCAACCACAACTAATCTTAAGGGTGGAGTTGAATGGATGTTGACAAGTCAATCCCAACATTCACTACAATGAACATGATTTCCTGACGAAGGATCTACCTAGCATGAAAAAAAAAATCCCAATTAAACAGCTTGTCATTATTAAATAGGACAATCACAGATTCAACTCACCATGAACGGCCAGAGATGTTCATGACACAATAATTTTTTGACATTTTTAGAAATATCATTTCTATCATGATGGAGACTCAGACTTTTGGGGGGAGGGGGGGAAATGGGCATTTATTGAAACCTTAAAATCTGTACCCCCATAATATGCCGAAATAAAAAAAAAAGAAATATCATTTGTAGAAACTTTTAAAATTCCTACGATTCAGAAAAAAGGAAAAATTGTATATGGTTTCTTGGTTTTCTCTCTGTTCCATTGGCAGGCATGTTGTTTCCTACCCACAAACTCACACCCTACAGATTATCTTTATTTCCCTCGTTGAAGTAAAAAAAATAAAATTAATCTTTGTTTCAGAAAAGAAAATGCATTCACACAATTAAAAATTCAAAACAAACAAAGTGTATATAGTGAAACTTCTTTCTCCTACCTCTGTTCCCCAGGCACCTAGTCTCCATTCCTCTCTGCCACCACAGTTACCATTTTCCCCTATATCATTGCAGAGATAATCCATGTCTTTGTAAGTACCTCTTTGTACGATACTCTTCCACACCGTGCTTTATTTCCCTTTCCGTCCTGTCGATCTTTCCACTGTGATACATAGTTTTCTCATTATTTTTTATGTCTTTGTAATATTTCATTAGCAGATTTACTGTAATTTATTTGGTTAATCCCCTATTCATGAACATTTGAGTTATTTCCTATATTTTGATATTACAAACAATGCTGTAGTAGATAAATGGAAACATATGTCATTTCACACATGCTCCCAGAAGGATATATGTAGAATAAATTACTGCCTTCTCATCTTTCACCAAAATTTCACTCCAAGAACAAGTTTTGCACTGGGTGGGAAATACTCACTAAAACACTTTAATCTTTTGTTTGTTTAATATAAAAGACTCATTCATTCACGTCACAGATAGAAACCACCTCCAAATTATATATTCCACACACTAATTTATGCCAAAAGTCATTTGCCTCACTAAGAACAACCAGTTTCTTAGAGCTTTGCTTGGATTATCAGAACTAGCAATTGGAGGACACATAAAATAATAATACCATTAACTGTATTTAAAACAAGTTGAGAACAATACCAGGAAGAAGAGACATGCCAGGAAGTTGCTGGGCCTGGCTTGGTAGCATAGCAATGTACTCACTAATCTCAGAATCCTTTCAATTCAACTTTACATCTCAGCAAAATCTCTACGATCATGGCCCTCCTGGTGAAGGTCATAGATGTCCAAAATTTTGTAAACATTTCCTGTCAGAGTTCTTAAAATTGTAATCCCCAAGATATTTCAGCTGGCTCCCATTCAGCCAGGAAAGCTTAATGCATTCTTTTCTAGTTACCAGTCCACAGCAGAAGCCAATGAGCAAGTTCCAGTTCGAGAACTGAAACTGAATGTGGATTATACCATCGCCTGAGACTTATCCATGAATGTTCAGTCTGTGTTCTCAGGAGCCAAGTAATGGGATCCATGATAAAGCTACAAAAAACATACTAACATCTATTAACACTCACTAGGTGGCATGCATTCTGCTAACAGCTTCACATGCATTCTGTCTTAAGATTTCAGTCATTTGCAGATTTACTACTAGGGTCAACAGGAAGCTTACCCTTTCCCCTTCCACTCCATGCTCCCAAGTAAACCTTGATATCAGACTCTCTCATTTGTCCTAGGAGCGACTAAAGTGAAAATATCCCTGCAAGAGGGAACACAGTAAACTGAACCAGTCTTTATACAGTGTTTGGGCTGAATTTATCATATTAATTACAAGATACAATTTTCATGAGGAGAGGGCAGAAATTGCTCTGTAGATGTGCTGCAGGGTGGGGACAGAGTGCTGCTGAGAAGGGGACATGAAAAGGCAATGTCGTTACAGAGTGAAAGCTTAGTTTGCCTCAGAGCACTACCCAGAATATACATGTGAAAAAACAAAGGCCAGGATAGTTTGGGGTGTTTTTTTTTTTTTAACACTGCATTGTATTGATGATAATAAACTTTATTTAATGGTTTATTAAGCAGCAGCTTGCTCAAGGATCTGTAACTTCTAATCAGTGCATTAAGACAGTCTTTAGAAATTGTTTATAGGTACTTATGAAGGGTGTTTGAGATCATGCCTTCAAAAATACAATCAGCTATAAGACCAGTTTCATAGAGATTTGCTTTTCAAAAGAATATTTTTGAGATTTGAGCCTTAGTCTTTAAGCACACAGTAAGAGTTACTATTTATCAAGGCCTAAAACCAGAAGAAGAAGACCGAAGAAGACCTCTGACCCATTGCTGTGAGGGGTTGGCAAGGGGTTCTGGAAGGCCTGAAAAAAAATGGGTCACACAGTTAATTTCACACAGGTTAGCCAAGACGTAAGCAGAAGGCAATCTCACTCTATCTCTTGGATGTGAACCCAGTGTGAAACTCTGTCATTGGCAGCAATTGGGTTTTTGTACCTTCTGGTCTCCCACAGAGTACAGGGCTGGGCTGTTTCATTTATGGCCTTTCCTGGCTGGCTGAGTACAGCTTGCTGAGTGACTGTCCAGGGCTGAGGGGAAAGAAAGTTCTCTGGGATGTCCCACAATAGCCACTGACTACAGGCCAGAAGCACATGACTGGGCTGCAATTACCATGGCCCGCCCTTTATCTCCAGAGAATTGGCCAGTCACATTACTGGAAATGAGCTGTCTTGAACAGTCAGCGTCCGTTCTCTCAGGAAGGTTAGAGCCCCATGAATTTCACAACCTTTGCAGCTTCTTGGGAAATGCACTGTGAGTTTCCACATTTCTTGCTCAGCTTCGATAAGATTCCCAAGTAATTGCAAAAGTGAAAATAAAACCCCAAGCCATTTTGTACCTTGGTATTTATAAGACAGGGAGTGAAAATTGCATGCGAAAAAACTGGACTTCATAAACATATAATCTTTTGGTACTTAGCAGAATCCACAATCCCTATATGGAAGAGAAAATATATTGGTAATGATATAGAATTAATCTTATCCTATACCTCTGTAAATCATGGGATATTAGGGTTGACAGAAATTTAAAGATCACGTACCCCATACCTTCACATCACAAATTTGATACCAGAGATATTGTCACTCACTTATGGGCACTTAGCTCATATGGTCGAAAAACCACTAGGTTTACAATGAGAAAGTCTGAACTTGAACCCTAACCCTGCCACTTTCTGGTTGTGACTTTCAGACAAGCTAGTGAGTCTCGATCTCTACATTGGCAAATTAGAGTACTTTATACCTCAAACAGGCTATGAATGTTTTTTGGGGGGGAAAGAACACTGAGGTGCCCCCAGAAACTTGGAAATACATTGGCTCTTAGGGAGTCAAACTAGTAACATTCACACATAATAAGAAAGCAACCTTTAGAAATCATAAAATTGTAAATTTATTATGTAAGAGTTGTTTTGAAAATCTTTTTTTTCCTGATCAAAGAGTACTACATGTTCATTGTACTAAAAAAGAAAATAAAAAAAAAATCCAGACCATCAAGAAGAAAGTGAGGATGGATTGGATTATTATAATTCCAAATATGTTCTGGAAAAATTCACCATATGCAAAAAGATACGATCTTACTATATCTGCTTTTGACACCTAACAAGATATTGGTATAATATTTCAATACATTTGAGAGCACTCAAAATCTTTTTTAATTTTTTTCTCCATTTTTAATGCTTTTTTTTTTTCAGATAGAGTCTCGCTCTATTGCCCAGGCTAGATTTTTCTATTTTTTGTAGAGATGGGGTATTGTTCTTGCTCAAACTGGTTTCAAATTCCTGAGCCCAAGCAATCCTCTGGCCTCAGCCTCCCACAGTGCTAGGATTATAGGCATGAGCCACTGCGCCCGGCCACATAGGCACTATTATATCTAATAGTGAGTGTTTACATAATTATGTAGAGGCAAATGCTATTCACAGCTAATGCCTGTAGATCACAGTGACCACTTTTTTTTTTACCTACACTACCTCCTACTTTCCCCGGAATCACTGTCTTTATTATTTTCTTGTTTTTTACTTAATTTTCTCTGTATTTATTACTGATTCAAATTCTATCTTAATTGTGTAAATCTCCTTTGAATATATTCAAATGCATCAGGGACTCTAACAATCTTCTGGAGGAGATCTGACTTGCTTCCATCTGGACTGGATGCTCTCTAGCATGAGCTCTAGTTAGGAGACTGACGCTGCCTTCATCATCGTCCTAGGGATTCTATTCATCTCTGTCTAGTCTTAGATGTTTTCACCTGATTCCTATGTCTTTCTCTTTCTTGGTTTACTGCCCAGCAAATACTTCCAGACTTTTGCTAAGAGAACATACACCCGGCTAACAGCATTCTGGGAGCCAAATGGAGAAAGAAGATTGAGGACGTCTCAATACACAGTTTATAAACATACCCTTAATCCCCGGCCTTCAATAGTGTAGCCACATCCTTTCCCAGTAACCCCAATCCAGAGTCCCTTTGCTTGTTCTTGTCACCAGACTAAGAGGCAGCCTCACACCTGAAAAGAATAGGAGTGGGGAATTAGGGACCCACCAGTTTCTTAGAAAGACTTCCTACCAAGTCCCCTGTTTAAGCACCACTCTCATTCCCAGTTCCTAAGGTATCTGTTGCTCCAATTATTTAGGGTTCTGTATTCCAAGTTGGGCTGGTTATCAACAAGCTTAATAGTCAGCTTTCTTGGTGTCTTAATTCGGTTACTACTTGTCTATCTTCTTCCCAATTTCTACAGTTTATTCTTGTTGTCTCTTATCCCATGCCCTTTGTCCTTGCGAATTTATGCTTTGTTACAAATACTTTTGTTGTTCTCTTAGCTGGGTTCTGGAGGGAAGAGATCTGAATGCTTATGTTCAATCTGACATCTTTAATCAGACTGTCCCAGATCCTGAGCTATTATTATTATTCTCTATATTTTAGGGAAGTTTGTTCTAACTGTTCTCAAAAGACAGATACTAAATCTAGCAAACACTATCTATTTATTGATTGATTGATTGATTGATGTTAGTGACAAGGTCTTACCCTGTCACCCAGGCTGGAGTACAGTGGCATGATCATAGCTCACTACAGCCTCAAACTCCTGGGCTCAAGTGATCCTCTTGCCTCAGCCTCCCAGGTAGCTAGGACTACAGGTATGTGGCACCACATGCCTTGCTAAGTTTTCTTTTTGTAGAGATGGGGTCATGCTTTGTTTCCCAGGCTGGTCTCAAACTCCCAGCCTCAAGCAATCCTCCTGCCTTTGCCTCCCAGATAGCTGGGACTATAGGCATGAGCCACTATGCCCCAGAAATCTTCTAATTATGTGAAACTCAACATGTCCAAAGTAAAATTCATAATCCTGCTTCTAAATTCTGAGTGTCACAATGTTCTCTTACAATGGTCACCATCTTAGTAAATGGTACCTTATCTTTTCAATTCTCATGTCAGAAACTTAGGAGTCATTCCTACACCTTTTTCTTCCTCAACTCCCACACCTACCTATCACCAAGTCTTGCTTATGAATATTTATAAATATTTATGAATATTTATGACATGAGTCCACATCTTTCCAGCTCTGTTGTGAAGGCCCTTGATAAAGTTACCAGCACGTCTCTCCTAGATTTCTACAATTCTTTCCTAATTGATCTCCCTGCAAACATTTCAGCCACTCACCTGTCCATTCCACACGTTGCAGTCATAGTCACCTTTGCAGAATGCAAGCCAGATCATGGTCTACACAATCTGCTTAAAATCTTCAATGGCTTCCCATTAATAAGGACAACAATCCTTAGCAAGGCCTGCAAGAACCTGTTGGGACTGATCTGGCTCCTTCTCTGGCCTTATCTAGTGGAACTCCTTCCTGGGGTCAGCTCCCTAGTGTGGCTGCCTTTCTTTCTGATCCTCTTTCTTTCTGATCCTCTTTTCCCCCAAAGGCCCCTTCAGGCAGAACAGCTCCCTCCTGCAGCTGCTCCCAACAGCCCCACTTCCCCCTTCACTTGGCTCTCATCATTGCTTACTCATCCCTTAGGTCTCCATTCAAGTGTCATTTCCTCAGGGAAGCCTGGTGAGCTCAGGCTTCTTTTTAATGTACTCATATAGAATCGTGTTTCATTTTTTACAGCATTTATTTCACTTATTAATTAGGCCTTCATTTTTCATGACAATTTGATTAATATCTGCCTCTCCTGCCAGACTGTAATACCATGAGAGCAAAGAATACATTTATTATTTCTCACCAGTGTATTCTCAGGTCCTGATTAATTGCTGATTATCCCTTTTGGAGTTGGTTTAAAAAAGAAAAAATAGTATCTTGGCTGAAAATTTCCTCAAATTTGGAATAATTTCAGCATACCATCATGCAACCCTTCCCTTAATGATTCAAGGTCATTGTTATTAATATTAAAAAAACATGCTGTAATACAATACATTTCTTAGTTTTTTGAGTGTACGGGAAGGAATATCAATCACTAACTTAAATAACCTCAGACCAATTAATTGGCCAGGAAAAAAAGTGAGATAATTTTGAAGTTTTCAAAGGGAAATTTGGAATTTTTAATGCTTGGCAGAAGACTGAGTGACTGGTTACCACCTTCAAATATAGGAAGTATTTTATAACAACAATTGTTGTTGTTGCTATTACCATTATAAGAGCTTTAAATACATTAGCCCATTTAATCCTCACGGCAGCTCCTTGTGGTAGCTCACTGGTAGTATTTCCATTTCACCAATGAGGAAACTCAGGCAGGTTAAGAAAGTGGTGGAGAAACTGTGGGTCGAAGTGGTTGAGTCGGGGATCATACTGCAGGCAGTCTGGCTGTAGCATCTATAAGCTTAATCCTTCGAATGAGAAAAGTGGGAAGCAATTCATTTCAAGAAGCCAGACAGTTTCACTAAAGAAAAATGATCTTAAATTTGGGAGAACCTGCATCTGGACACAAGAAAGAACGATCTGGAAGCATTAAACACTGGAATAGGCTACTTTAAAAGTTGCACGCCCATTTTGATTAACTTTGAAAACTATAATGGACAGGCATAAAGTCCAGAACAGTCTGTCAAATCCTCTAAGCAGGGCTTGGACCTGATAATCTTTTGACGTCCCCTGTAGGTCCCCAACTCTGAAAGGTTGAAAGGCTGTTATCTTTTATCTCCAATATTTTCCCTGGTTGAAAGTTTGCCCATTGTAGTCAACTTTGTATTATCCTAGGGTAGCTTATCCAGGGCAGATCTTGCTTTATTGAGTTTGGTCGTCACTTTGCTTAATGACTTGCTACATTAACAACTTGGCATACTCTTCATCCACAGTCAGCACCTACTTAGTTTAATTACTTGCTTTGTTGACATTATGAAGTTTTCAGGGAAACACTTTAAAATCCAAAAGTTAACATCTTAGTCCTTGTGTGCCACTATAACAGAATACCTGAGACTGGGTAATCTATAATGAACAGAAATTTATTGGCTCTCAATTCTGGAAGATGGGAATCCCGCGTTGAAGGGGCCAACCTCTGGCAAGTGCCTTTTGCTGTGTCATCCCATGGTGGAAGGGCAAAGAGAGGTGAGAGCAAGACAAAAGTGGGCCAAACTTGTCCTTCTATAAAGAATTCACTCCTGTGATAACAGCATTTATCCATTCCCATTCATGAGGGCAGAGCCCTCATGGCCTAATCGCCTCTCATTAGGTCCCTTCTTCCAACACTGTTTTCTTGAGGATTAAGTTTTCAACTCATGAACTTTAGGGAACACATTTAAACCATAGCACTTAACTACCCCCATTCTTAGTACCACTCCTCCCTTCCCATGTAAAAAAGTATAGGATCATAAATGATACTACAGAGGAAGAAATTAAAGAAATTAATGTAACTGTCATGAGGATTTTGATGACCTCAAAAAACATGGAAAAAAATATATATAAAAAGAGATACTATGACTCAATTTGGAAAGGCCAGAGCCTATAAGAATAGTGTTAGCAAAACTAGATTACTGTTTAGAATGATCTTGAAGCTTGCTTAAAACACGATCAGGATGGTTTAGAGAAACAGATTACATTTTTAAACACAAAAAGAACCAAATTTTATGGGGTAAATGGCGTATGTGTTAGTAGTGGTGTGGAGAGAAAAGCATGCTAAGATTGGGGTCATCAGATGACCCCTCTTCCCTGAACTCATTCTCCCTGAAACTACTGCTGACTCAGTCCCCGTTTCAGGGAAGCCTTTACGCTCCAATCTCCATGCAAGAGACATTGTCCTCACCATGTACAAGGCTGCAGGACTTCGCTCACATTTGCTTTTGGAGAATGATTGTCCAAAGGCCTTAAAACCTTAAAACTTGTGTGCACAACCTCACCAAACACCATTATGTCTGCCTGTGTTCCTGTGTATATATTTTAAAAAAATTCACCGGTCCTCGATTGAATCATTAAAAAAAGATCAGAAATAAAGAATGAATTGTGTATCTATTTAGACTCTAGGCAAGTTCTCTTCAGGGTTGTCTTTGGTTTCCATAACTATAAAAAAAAATCCCACACTAAGGAGTTTAATCCAATTTGTGGAATTAGAGACTAGTGGGTTAGGAATACCTCTGTACATCAGCCTACCCATGGGCTTCTGTAACATAAGAAAGTATTTGACAGATATAACCAGTTAGCAGTTCTGATTGTCTTCATAGGACAATGCCAGTGGCCCAAAATGATCAACAAATCTCCAGGATGCGAAGATGTGGAGACAATTGACATTGCCGTTCTCAAAATAAATTGCAAATCTAGTTTTATAGGGTTTAATTATTTTCCAAATTATTAGTTCAATGTCTATTTCATCCCCAAGTTCACTGCAGGCTTTATCTGCCCAACATGAATCCTAATCCTAATCCTTTCCTTGGAATATAATCTTTTATGAGGCTAAGGGATTTTGACTGTCTTTTCACTGTTGCATTCTCAGTATTTAGCAGAATCCTTGTTGTAAATGCTCAAGAAGTAGGTAAAGGAAAAAAATAAGTTATGGCTTAGTAATAAGTGTTTTCCTACTTTCCTTAGGACCCTGGGAACATCACTTAATCCCTCTGCTCCCAGATCTGGCTGTATTTCAGGATCACCTTGGGAGCTTTTTAAAAAACAGGGATTGGTCCCACCTCCAAGCACTACAAATAGCAGTTTATAAAACTCATGCAAGTGATAGTGATATACTGCTAAATTTGAGAAGCAATGATTTAACCTATCTGGCCTCAGTTTCCTCCTCTGGAAAACAGTTGGTCCTGCTCCCGCAACAGGATATCACGCATGACTGTGCAAGGCAGGACGAGAGTAGAGGCCAACTGTGTAGGCCTGGTGGAAAGAACACACACACGATTTCACAACCCAAGTACTTCTCTGTGGCACATGCATAACTCATCTAATGCTAAGATTTGAATAGGATCTGAATGTTTTCTCAACAAATCAACTGCCCACCTCTTTGCCTATAAATCTCCCATATCTCTCTTCTGATTAAACTTGGAAAGAAAGCACCTATCTTGTATAAAAAGTATGGGAAAGTTATAGGAAAGACCGAATAGTTTAGGGAAAGACCATTCATTCATTCCTGACTTTACTTTTCCTCCTACTCAACTATCATAATTGGTCATTGCAATCTCACACGAGGTGTCACTGCAGGTTATTCGTCTCCAACCTTGCATCAACACAACTCTTGCAGACACTGTCAGTGCTCTGACTAGATCCCCTACATGCCCTCTGTTGCTTCTGTGTGCCCATCTCCCAGCTTCTGCACACTCAGCTCCCAACCTAAGAGACCAGGCTCCTTCTTCAAAGAACTACCTTTGGGCTACAGGAGACCATTAGGCAGGATGCACTGAGAGACAGAAATGGGGTAGGAGAGAGTCGATGTCCCAGCTCTCCACCCCAGGGTGACAAGTAGTTAACCCTAGAGTATTAGAGCACTACAAAAGCCCAGATTATTTGCCTTGAGGCAGAATAAACTATACAGTGTCAATTACACTCCAGCTGTCATGGGAATAGGCTGAGAATGAAATTTCCTTTGCAATTGCACCCTTGCTGGGTTGCTTCCTCCTACGACTCTATCTCCCCACAACTCCCTTACTGGTTTCTTACTGAAGAACTTACTAGATAACCATTTGCCCACAAATCTTCTCATTTATTTATTTATTTGAGAAAGGGTCTTGCTCTGTCTCCCCAGGGAAAGTGCAGTGGCATCATTGTAGCTCACTGCAACCTCAAACTCCTAGGCTCAAGGGGTCCTCCTGCCTCAACCTCCAGAGTAACTGGGACTACAGGCTCCCACCACGCCACCTATCTAATTTTTCTTTTTTCTTTTTTTTTTTTTTAGTAGAGAAGAGGTCTTGCTCTTGCTCAGGATGGTCTCCAACTCCTGGCCTCAAGCGATTCTCCGGCCTCTGCCTCCCAGAGTGCTAGGACTACAGGCGTGAGCCACCACGCCCAGCCCTGCCCACAAATCTTTATCTCAAGGTCTTCCTCATACCCTCTCCATTTTCTTCAGCTATAAATATTATAATTTTTTAAAACTTCATTTGCATTTGTTTCATGGCTGAGATGGCATATGTGTCTATGTGACTTTAATAGTTAAGTCAGTTGATTTCTTCTTTGGTGATCTCAAGTCCTTTGCTGGTCTTATTAATTCAGATAAGGTCCTTTTTTATGTATAGTTTACATACAGGAACGTAAACAAAAAATATGTAACTCAACAAATTTTTACATATGTACACACCCATATAACCAAAACCCAGATCAAGCTATAGAGCATTATAGAGAAGGCCACACCATGTCTCTTTCCACTTAGCAGAAACCACTTCCAGGTAACTACCATTCTAATTTCTATCTTTGTGGGTAAGTGTAGCCTGTTTGTACTTCTTATGAATGAAAACATACTGTATGTACTCGTTTTCGTCAGGCTTCTCTCGTTCAACATTGTTTGGGAAATTCATCCATTTTTCGTATATAGTTCATTCGTGTTCATTTCTGTGTGGTTTTCCATTGGAGGACTATATCACAGTTTATTTACCTATTCTATTGTTGATGGAAACTTGGTTTGTTTGCAATATGGAGTTATTATAAATAAGGCAGCTATGAACATTCTCTTTAAGTCTTTTGGCAGATACGTGTTCATTTCTAGGTAAATACTCAGGACTGGAATTGCTGGATCATAGGTTATATAACTTCTAGCTTTCATTGGTGCTGTAGAAAATATATTAACTCTGTCAAATTTGTGTAAATTTCCACTTAATTGATTGCTTACCTTTTTAATTATAGTTATCTTCTTTTTTCCGTGTTTTATTGCAGTATGATTTTTACACATAAAATTCATCCTTTTTTAAATGTAAAGTTTTAAGCATTTTGGCTAGGATTACAGTCGTTTAACCACCACCACAATCAAGACAAGGAAAATGCCATCACCCTAATTATCTTTTATTTTGACATAGAAATGTTTAAAGATTTAATGCAGTCATGTATGACTTCCCTCCCTTTATTCTTCTATTTTTCAAAAACTACCTAGAGTTTCAAATAAATTCTAAAATGACTCTACAAAGTGTCAAAACAAAGACCATTGCCTTCTTCTCTAAAAATACAAACATGTAATAAGTTATAAATCCTAACTCTTCAGTTGGACAGGTCAGCCTAGGAAGCCCAGTCACTCATGGCTGGATGATGCTAGGCAAGCCACTAGCATCTCTGATTATCAGTTTCCTCTTGTATAATGTGATTATAATAATGGTGCCTGTGTCATGGGGCTGTGTAAGAAATGGGTAAATATAACTAATATATAGCAAGTGCTCGCTATTTGCCAGGCACTGTTCTAAGCACTTTGTAGTGACTTATT